GAAAGGAATATAACCAATTATAAATCTTAGGAATTGTTAATGTGTGTCTCTATATAATATATACAGATATACATACACTTGTTTATGTGTGTACAACGAATAGTGCTCAACTGAACATATAATGAGAAAATCAATGATTTTAAAAGGAGTAATAAAGAATTCATTCAGAACTCAACCTCATTAGTCTCTATATATATATATACACACACAAACACATACGTGCGTGCACGCACACACATACACACACACATACACACACACACACACACATATTGAAATTTACAAATCTATTTGGCAGGTGTTTTTGAGTGAGAAAATGGAAGCAGCAACATTGAAAAGGGAATTTAAGCTTGTGTTTCCATAATTGAGGGAAGGCATTGGATTTTAGCTCAAACAGTTTCACAGTGATGGGTGCAGCAGCATATACCTGTAATCCCCGGTGCCTGGGGAGACTGAGGCAGGAGGATCACAAGTTCAAAGCCAACCTCAGCAACTTAGTGAGTCCCTTTCTCAAAATTAAAAAATAAAATAAAATAAAAGTACTAAAAAAAAAAAAGCTGAGGATGTGGCTCAGTGGTTAAGAGTCCTTGGGTTCTATCCCTGGTACCAAAAAAGAAGAAAAAAACAAAAGTTTAACCAAATCCCATGTAGGATAAATTCAAAGAAATCCTAGCCTGCACAGATATTAGTGGAAACACAGATTTAGAAAAAAACCTTAAAGTGTTCAGTAAAGATAATACATCTACTGGATGAAGTGAGGTACAGTGACAGCAGACTTCTCAGCACCAATAGTAGGTTCCAGTAGATGGTAGGGTAATATCCTGGGTGGCTGTGAAAACTAAGATACAGATTCATAGAATATTTTGCCTTTCATCTTGACAGTTAAATGCACTTTTCAGAATTAAGTAGAAAAGATCCGTTCTGAAATCCTCAAGAAGGGAACTAATATTTCAAGTGCAAGGAATGTGCTTGAATAAAAGGAAAAGCAAATCCAGTAATAAAGGAAAAGTAGGTAGGAAAAAACTGAGGAGTGCTTAATGGACTAACACTTTCTATGGTTAAAATCTTGTAAAATCCCACAAAGAAGAACATGCTAGAAATTTCACAGTGCCAAAAATACATTAAAATGTTTATCTTGTTTTAGCCAAGGTCAAAAATTCTAAATAGTTAAAGATTCTTAGAAAGATTAATAATTTAGTTATTACTCCAAGTCAGTTATTCACTAAGGGACAGAACTTTCAAACTTTCCATTTAAAAATACAGACCCAAATGATGAAGACATTGAGAATTTTAAACTAACAGAAGGTAAAAGAAAAAAAAATACTGTGAAGGCAATACATGACAAATAGGGATTTCTCGTGTGTGGTTTAAACACAAATATAAAGTAGAATAGTACCAACTTATAGTATATTAGAATAGTATCACTAATTAGAGCAAAGAATTATCTGATTGGATTCTTTAAAAAAACTCGACTGCTTTGTGCTTCTAAGAGACACAGTATTGAATGTTACACAAGAGTATTAAAATAAAGGGCTGAAAAAAAATAATATCCATGCAAACATTAAATAAATATAGCTACTGAGGCAATCCTATTATCATAAACACTGAAGTTCAAAAAGAAATCATTAATAGAGATAAAAGATGTGAAATTTCTATATACACCAACGGTAAATTTATAATTGAGTTGTTGGGGACATAAAATACAAATGCTGTTAAACAATACAAATGAATAAAACATATCCACATGGATAAATATCCAATATATTGCCATGCATAAAGAAAAGGAACAGAATGTGTTGTGCAGTCATATATAAAGTTAAAAGCATCCAAAACACTGGTAATATGTGTATGCATGCCTGAGAATAATAAATACCAATTTTAGTATGGTGGTTACCCAGCAGATAGGGACTCTGATAAAAATTTCATTACAGAATTTTAGAAATGAATAAATAAAAATAAAAGTCCAATAAAGTAGAAATGAAACAGTAAAAAGTATTTTAAGATCTGACAACTTGTGTGTGTGCACACGCACATGCGCACTGAACAGGCTAGGGGGAAATTTGCTCTTTGAATTGTTAGCATTTGTCTCCCTGGAGACTAGGACACCAACCCGTAATTAGCAATCCAGGCCACTAGGCAGAGGAATGAGGAAATCAATATGCGAAACTCCTTTCTGTAGAGGTTTCAACTCTCAGAGGCAATGACTTGAGCTTTGCTGAGCTTGTTCAGCCCTTTGCTAACCCTCCTTCTGCTCTGATTATTCTCTGCAGTTCATTCCCATCAGTGCCCCTCCTCACGGAGCTCCCTCCCGACAATCACACAAACCCAGTTTGCATCTGTCAGGCTCTGCTTGAAAAAGTCTCAATTCATGCAAATGTCGCTTCTCAGCCTTTAAAACCCAGAGAGAGTCTCTTTCATTCAACAGATGGGCAAATAGCAAGACAACCAGCCCTGACCGTTGTTTCCTGTTTTATGAAAAAGGCACTTTTCTTTTACCTCCCAAACCTTAATATGAGGACTTGTATCCCCTCACATGGTTTATTAGAAGAACAAAGACACCCTCATTCAAGACTCAGTAGGGAGTCAACATGGTACATCAGAAAACACTCTGACTTTGGTACCAAATCCAGCCTGAAGCCTGGGATCAGTCACTTGGTAGCTGAATGTTCAGAATACTTACCTACTGATGAGGTAGAGGCTCTTCAAGACTCACTGAGCCTGCCTGGTGCCAGGGGTCCACCAAGAAGCATTTGCTCCAGGTGATCCCTTCATCTTCTGTTTCTCTACCACTGCTATTTGCATTTCCTTTTATGTTGCTTCTTGCTCCAGTCCCTTTGCACAAGCTGTATCTCCTGCCTATGATGTAATCTATTCCAAACCTCCTCAAGTTAATCTCGACTATCCCTTCAAATTAAACTCACTCAACACATTCTTGGGGGCGTGTTTGCTAATGAGGTAAATGTGTTCTGTAATGTAGTCCCGTGGTGATTTTTCTAACTAACAATATTAGAAAATTTATTTTTGTGCCTATTTTGTTAGAGTCTGTTTGCCAAATAACAATGTAAAGCTATGAGTGTAGAGTGTGAGTTATGTAGTCCATGCTTATTTTGTGCTTTCATTTCCTTATCACACTCCACAACAGTCCCTTTCTGAAAACTCCAGTTGCTCAGAACCAAAATACACTACCTGGTTCTCACCAGTCCTCCCAGGCTGAAGTCATAGATGTGGTGGGGAAACAAGAGCTAATTGTTATTTGCAGGTGTCATTCCAATTTAATAAATAATAGTTGAATGAATTTGCTATTGAAATAGCAAATTTCATTAGCAAATAATTTCTTAAAATTTATTTTTAAAGTTATTTATTTAAAATTTATCAAGATAATATGGAGTTCCCAAATGCCCTGCTCTCAGTTTCCCCTGTTAGCATCTGCTATGGTTTGAATAATGCCCTGTAAAGGTCATGTGTTACAAGCTTGGTCTCAGAGAAATGGTGAAATCTTGAGAAGATGGAGCCTAGCAGTGACCCCCAGGTCATATGGGGATTGAACTTTGAAGGGGACTCTGGGACCTGGATCTCTTCTTCTTCCTCTCTTCTGCTTCTTATTCCATAAGGTGAGGACTCATGAGGCACCAGCATGTGGTTCTGCCAAGTTGCCTGCCCTTGTTGCTATCCAGAGGATCAAAGATAAGAGGCACTCAATCTTGAACTGAAAGCTCCAAAACCCTGAACCCAAACAGCCCTTTTCTCTTTGTAAGTTAATTGCCTCCGGTATTTCATTATGGTAATGGAAAACTGACTAATACAACATTTTGCATTGGAATGCTACATTTATCATAGCTAATGTACTGTACTGATAGGCTACTAATTTAAGCCCATGACTTATTAATACTTCCTTATTTCACCTTATCTTGAGACCTCATGTCTGCTAGGGCTGTACCAGACTGACAAAATTTTTTTTTCTGTTTTTTGTTCATAATGATAGACATAATTTTGAGTTTACTGGTTAGGTATTTTGTGAGTATCTTGTTTGATGGCTTTCCAATAATTGCATTGGGTTTGGGGGAGGAAAACCAGAGTGATTAAGTGCATTTTTATCCTATTAGTCAAGAAAGCTTACTGTCGATATGTTGACATTGACCACCCAGCTGTTTTTTGACTGTAAAGTTATTCTTTACCTCCCCTTCTCTTTACTGAGACAGAGATGACTGTGTGCCATTCATGAGTAAGGGTGGGGAGTTAAGCTTCAGTTCTTTAAAGACTCGGTATTTATGTAAATTGCATGTAGTTCTCCTAAATAGAACATCTGTCTCTTCTTCTCATTTATTTATTAATTTATATTGGTATGGATTCCCAGAAACATATTTGTTTTCCCTATGAAAACTCTGGTTGATATTTACTATAGATTTCAAAAGAACTAACAGGGACATGTGTGCTCCAAACTAGCATTTCAAATACCTTATGGTCCACAGTTATCATAGTAGTTCAGTTCTGCTCAAGATAACTTCATGCACATTGAAACATATCAAGATATACTGACCTGAATTCATAAGATATTTATAACCCCTTCCATCAAGAGACAGAAAAGGCTTTCATCCTCCTTTTTTCTTTTTGTCTGATTTCCTAATACCTTGTTTCTACATAGCAAATTACCCCAAAATTTAGTGGCACAGATCATCTACTTAATACATTCCTGGATTGAGATTATGTGAATCTGGAGTTCCAGTATGGTACAATATAGACCATTTTTGAAAGAACGAACAAGGCTCATCGTTGGAGAAAATGACCGTTTATTGAGGAACAGCTCTGCATATTTATAGAGCCAAGGGTGGTTTGACAGTTATGACAGTTTAATAGTTGAATGGTTTGACAGTTGGCATGAGGTGCTTTCTGATTGGTGGGTAATGATCATGTGAGCCAGCAGGGCTAGTCTGATTGGTGGGTAAGGATCATGTGAGCCAGCAGGGCGCACCATTGGACAGCTCTTCTCAGGGGATGGGGAAGTTAGTCTTTGGAGCCTGGGCAACTCCCAACAATTTTGTTCTGATCCTTTTCCTCTTCGAATTCAGGTGGAAGACTCAAGGATGGGGTGGGTCATTTCATGTCTACAGGTTGGAATTATCTGAAGCTTTGTTCACTGATATGTGCAGCAAGTTATGCTGGTGGTTGGCTGGGAACTCATGTGAGCACATGAGCCTATCAGGGAGAAAGACAAGAGGTGTCAACTCACCACCTAGCTAAGATGTGACATATTGTTGTTTATTTTCACAATATTCGATTAGTCAAAGCAGTAACAGAAGTAAACCTAGGTTCCAGAGGAGGGGACATAGATGTGATGGACATGGCAAGATTATGGAGAAGTGTGTTTTGTTTTGTAGTCATTTTTGAAAATTAAAATCTACTATTCCATGTTGTGATCACTTGGATTCACTGAGTGCTATAATTCTGAGTTATGATAGCTATTGGCCAAAATATCTCCAAATGCTTGACTCTCATTTCACACTCAGTCCCTGACCTTGAGTCATTTTATGTAAACCCCTTACTAATCATGGGTCCTCCAAATGCTCATCACATTTTCTCTGTTATTGCCCCCACGTAGCAAGTCTTAGAAAGTTTCTTATCTAGGGATTATAGAAAAAAAAAAAAGCAGGCATTACCAGTAACTTAAGTGCAGTCAAAATGAAATGGAAAAATATATTTTTCCTGTAGGTTTTAATTGAAAAAATACTACTATCAAATGGAAGAAAAAGAAAAATCTGTCTCTGACTGACCAGAGATGCACAATAGGCATGCAGTACTGGAAGAGGATAAACAGAACTCAGCTGACCTTCACCTAGAGAATCCCACCCTGAGAAAATTAACTTATTGGCAAGAGAAAGAAAATTTTGACTGCAATATTAATGGCTATGTGAAAGAAAACTGAAGTGAAATTATGAGGATAGGTAATCCAGGTTAGTGAATTAATATCAGTAAGAAGCTCAAGTGCAAATCATTGGTTTCCCTCAAATCTCTAACAAATATAACACAAGTAGGGCTTACTTCATGTGGTTAGAGAATTAATAGTAAAAAGATTATATAAATCATAGGAGAAATGTAGCATTCTGTAAACAGAATAATATTTAGCTGCTATGTATATTCCTTTGGCCTCACAAATTCTGGCTTCTTTGCTTCCTGCTGAAACTGAAAATGCATGAAGAGCTATATTCTTGAGCAGTGATATTCCATATTATTAATGGTCCTATTAAAGTCAATTTTACTTTTAAGAAGTTTGAAGAATTCCCAAATGCTGAATCTGTGCACTGCTTGAAATAGTACACAAACATGAATCTGAAATGAGCCAAGATACTCAGCTTGCTCATTAAAGACCTCATAGACCTACCTACTTGGCTGTGATCACTTCACATTGCTGTTCCTGGATTCATTTACTCTGTGGTTTTCCAAAAGTGCTCTGTATTTCTTCACAGTCAGTTTTTCAGTATTATAAATTATATATTAGTATATTTAGACATTTGGTGATTAGTCTTCCCAAAGACTATATAGCCTTTACAACTCCTCTATGAGTTATACACTCACACATGCATACAAATACATGTTTGAGAAAGACTATATGTGCTTATGTGTATAAAATACATGCACTCTCTATATATATATATATATATATATATATATATATATATAGAGAGAGAGAGAGAGAGAGAGAGAGAGAAAGTAGTTCAGTAAATGAGACAGAGCAAAAGAAGGGGGAGAAAATCTAACCAAAAAAGTTAAAATAATTTTCTTTATTTTGTGTTGTTTTCTCATTCGTAGGAATCCTTAAAAATACAAATATCAATATTTTCAACAAAGTCAGAATTTAATTCTGGGATATAATGTGTTCTTTATTGTCTTGTATGAATAAAGCTTCACTTTTAATAGATTACATAAACTCCTGAAAATTGAGGATATTATATGCCATTATCATAAACATATAGGAAATGTCAAATTTTTGCCATATAACTGTTGCACCATTTTAAAGTCAATTATTGTATAAATGCTTTGAGATTTATTTTTGGCATATTCTCTTGACTTATTCAAGGAAAAAAGCATTTCATTTCTAAACTCAGAGTGCATCTATCAGGTAAGTCAACTTTTTGGTAACAGTTCCAAAGTCTGTAAGTTTTATATTTTACAATTATTGGTGGATTTATTGCATTTAACCTGCTAAAATTACATTATCTAATCTCAATTTTTTAAAATACAGCAAAAAAACAATCATTTCCTTTAACATTACTGTGTTTTATTCAAAAATGTAGTCTGTATACTTAAAAGTATGCATATGTATGACTACATATGTGTATTATCTTTTAGGATACTTTACATAAAAATATGTAGTAAGTGCTGAAAATATCTGTTTAGGTTTGACCATGGATTGCATATGATATAAGTATTGGTATAAGATATATTAAATGTATTTAAGTCTGCTATGCTTTTATTTAAAAAAAAAAACAGGGCTTCTAGAAGATTTTCAGTCCACTGAACTTTTTCCATCCTCTAGGGATCATTTTAATTTGAAATATTTAGAAAGTTTAGTCCTATGACAGTGCCATAACATGAGCAATTTTATTGAAATAGAAAGTGAAGAACAAAAATATTCAATAATTATTTTATTGATGTGAAGGGCATGAATTATTCATGGTTTCAAAGTATCTGTGTATAATTCTAATTACCTGCTTTTAAAGGATGTGAGACCCACTGAAAAGTACATTAACAATTTTGATTGAACATCTGCTATCCCATAGCCTATACCAGGCACCACTGTTTGTGTGTTTATGTGTTTTTCTGATTTTCTGGGTGATCATTATATACTGTGCTTTGTTGGCCTCTGATATAATGCTTTGATAGTTATAAAAATAGATCATGCAAGGTGATAAAGCTAAATTATTCCTAACTCAAATGCATTATGCATTTTCTAAAAATCTCTGTTCATTTGTAGCTGTGACACACATTATAAATACTTCCTGAGGTTTTCTTGGATAGAGACTTGCTTATACACTTCTACATTCTCGTCATTAACTACTGGATAAAAGCACAACTTTATGTCATCCACCAGTCAGTTGGAAAGCCAGGGGGCTTGGGACTCAACACCTTCACCCCATCTGCACTCTTAACACCACCATCTTCCTAGTTAATTGGCCAAACTATTTAACTCAAAAATTCAAGTGTCAACCATGACTTAAAGGAGCACGCAGCATCTAATCAGGAAGTCCCCTTGGGCGATTCTACTGCATTTATTATTTTTTAAATTTCTCCACTTCATATTCTGTTGCCTGTTGCTCAGTTCATTGACATTTTTATTTGAATTTCACTGGAATTGCAGCTTGCCCCTTTAATCACATTTTTCACTCATCTTTTCACAGTATTTCCCATGTCTTATTGAGGATAGTATTCAACACAGGGTTATTTCTTCTACCTTCTGAACCCTTCACATTACATAGCACGGGATTGAGGAAAGCCTGTTCATGTAATTTATAATGTCTACAACAACTTTTCTGATCTATGTTCATCTTTTTCTGCCTCTCTGAGTTTTCAACCTCTCTTCTTTGAATTCTAGGACCCTTATTGTCCAACACCTTCCAGTTTCCCCCCAAAACATTATACTTCCTTTCTTGACAACCCCCACATTCTTAAATTCTTCTACAGTGAATTTTATTTGTTATGCCAGGGATTGAACCCAGGGGTGTTTAACCACTGAGCCACATCCCTAGACCCTTTTCTTTTCTTTTCTTTTTTCTTTTTTTTAATTTAGAGACAAGGTCTTACTGAGCTGCTTAGCATTTCACTGAATTGCTAAAGATGACCTTGAATTTGAGATCCTCTTGCCTCAGCCTTGTAAACTTCTGGGATTATGAGCATGTGCCACCATGCCTGGCAGTGAATCTTACTTCCTGCCCTCCACTAACTGCGTTGTTAACACTTGGTATTCAATGATTAGACAATCATAGATGGGTTTCCTTTGTGTGTTTTACTCATTTCCAAAAGATGAGGGTCTTTCAATTTCATATGTTCTCACATACTCTACATTGGTTCCTATTTATATCACTTCATTTTCTGTATGGTAATCGCCTGATTCTTTTTCTTTGTCTTCATGAAGACCACAAATGCCATTTGGTAGGAAATCTTTCGTCAACTAAAGTTATCCATTATGCATATTGTGGTAGTAAATGTATAGTTAACACTGAAGTATATATTGGGGAAAAATAGTATTATATTTTGGATCTGGGATGTACTCAAAAGGCTCAGGTGTTTAAGACTTTATCCCCAGCGCAGCAATGTTCACAAGTGGGGATTTGGAGAAGTGATTGAATCATAAAGACTCTGACCTCATTAATCCATTTGATGAATTCACATTTCAGAATTATTCTGCTTTTCCCCCTGTGAGTCTAAGAATTAGTTTAAGTCTTAAATGTGGTAAAACCTGGATATGGATCCAGAAAATATGCTTTTCCCTAGTGCTCCACATTGCTTTCTCTATGACTGATCACATTACAAAATCACAATTGTGTGCGTGCACATGTATGCATATGCACAGAATAAACATGAATTTGAATGGTGAAATATTCCAAAATAGTACAATAAATACTCTATAAATATCCCTTTGAAACCACAAATGAATAGTTGAAAAGTAAATTATCTCCTCATCACATCCTATATTAATATTTTATGCTTCTACAGTTCAATTGGTAAAGTATTGCTAAATTGCAGTGAGTACTTAGGATCTTTTAGTATCAGAAGATATGTATTCAATAATTTCATTGATATCACTGCATAGGTTCATCTATGTACATATGCACAGCTATTCTGTATGTTTTTTGGGTATTTGCTGAACTATCAAGTAGATCTAAATTGCTACTCATGTGACAAAAATAGGGTCAAATCTAATTATAGTCTCTCATAGAGGAAAGAAAGGGACATTAGGTTTCTTTTGAAATTATTGAAATAAAAGAGTCTCACTTTTAGATATTTTTCTGTGACTATACATGAATCATGTACACGTTTTAGTCCAATTTTACATCCATCAAAATAAAAGACTTGAAGAGTATATTGAAATAAATTATGGTATACCCATCTTTTATAATCATATATAATGGATTAAACACATTTTATACTAATTTTAATGAAGAGTTTGTAAAAACCCACAAGTTATAATAATATGTTAAAAGTAACATAGATGCATGTATACTTGAAAAAACAATATAAAACATTAATATCACTGGTTGATGGGCTTATGGACATATTTTACTATTTTTTAAAATTGAGAAAGAGTATTTTATTAACTTAGTATAAATTAAATTAAATATTTTTAGTTGGGATTTGAGAGATACAGGCATAATTAGTAAAATGTTTTGTTATATGATTCTGACAATCATAATAATTAATATAAACATGATTTTTAAGAGTTATTACAGAAAGATAGCTTTATCCACCTTATTGTAACCATTGTAATTTCCTGGAATTATAAACTATCCCATGGATGATTTGGCCCCTAAGTTAATGCTTTTAGGCTTCAGGCTTCAAAACAGTTGATAATGAGCATCAAGAAGGTCAAGGGAAGCCAAGGAGATTTTTTAATGAAAGTAATTAAATACCCAGTTAATGAGCAGCTTTTTATTATAAGAACATGGAAGGAAGATAGTATCTAAGAGCCACTATTTCTGCTTCCTCTGTCTCTTTGAAGAAATAGTTGGGAAATTTGTTATGTATCATCTCAAATCTCTAGAATATTAGCTAGTCCACCCCTTGGGGGAAGTAGAGATGGATACTATTCAATAATTTTGCACATATTGCTAGAATTTTTCTTTATTAACCTTTACCATAGAATTGCTTTTAAAAGGAAGAAAACTGTAAAACAGGCATTTAATTTTATTGTGTTTTAATTTTCAAGTTTTTCAAATAAAGCAAAAACCTATTTCCA